ATTCCCGAGGGCTGGTTGTAGCTCAAGTTGGTTGTAAGTCAATGCAGCTAAGAGCTGGATGTTTACCTGGGTATATGTCATAGATAACAAGAGGCAGATGAATCTTCCATTAACCTAATTAATCCAAGTTGTTCATATGTCAGGTCAGTCATAACTTGAGGGTCCACTGTATTTAAATAGAATGACCAACTGTGCCTCTGATGAAGTAATATTTATGCAAAGATGAAGAATTTAGAGAGTGAGCCAGAGTGTCCCAGGTAATACCAAAGCCTTAGGAAGGGATTGTGTCTGGCATGTTACAGCAATGGCCAGCAGGGTGACCATTGTCCCTGGAGGAAACAAGAAGAAAGGGGTAGCATATGAGGTCAGAGACACTCTGGTAGGGAAAAGAGCAGCTTGGATACTTAGCTTTGATAACCATTCCTAAGCAACATGCCAGATTTCTTTTCATAAGTTTTCCATCAACAAGGAATGATCACTTGTGACAAGATCAGAAAGTTTTGGAATCTAATATATCAGAGTTATACTTGTGTGACCCTGGGCAAGTTATTCAATGTTTCTGAGCCACTGCTTTTCATCTACAAGTGAAGGCAATGTCTTATAAAGTCATGGGGACATTTGTAATTGATGTAGGTAAAGTGCTAGGCATAGTGTCCAGCACCCAGATGAGAGCTGAGTAAATGGAAGTAGGCTCTGAGAATAGCACAAAAATGTTCATGTGGCTTATGCCATGAGGAACAACCTTCCGTTCCCCAGTGGCTATCTGGGTGTCCTTATGTGTCAGTGTGCTACAAGAACTCAGGTGATCTGCAATATCTGCCATTGCATTTACTGGCTTGACCATATGTCAAATAACATTCAAAATGTGTTATAGGAACTTTCACATGCCTTGTGATATTTTCAATCATAAAGGTTGCTCTAGTCTTGTATTACAGCCAAGTGATGACTTTAAAATTAATAATATTTTCATGAAGTGTAGAACTAGCTATTACTGATTTGACTGAAGACAATTGTACCTGACAATGACAAGCTAAAGAAACTTGTTTGCAAGTGTCTGGGTTAGAGTGTAATATGTGATTAGTCTTTTCCCATTAACTCTAATCCCAGTGCTGTGTGTATGGACATAATGAGGTATTCTCCTACAACCCAAGTTCAAGCCTTCTTACTTCCTGCTCAGCATTTTTTGATGGCCATTTATTTCTTCTTATTTGCTACTCTGCACTTCTCCAAACTCTCCTATGCATACCTGCCAGTGTGGTGGCCCAATAGCAAGACCCAAGTCATACCAGTCTTTGGCTCTGAAATCATTATTCAGCCTTCCTTGCAATTGTGAGTATTATCCCTGGAGAAGGAAACGCTCTCCAATTTAATTCTCTCTCACATGTGCAAGAAACTTCAGTTTCATCTACTCTGGAATATCTTTTTAATTCACTGACCACCATTGTAAAGAATGACTGATTCTAGAATAGGACCAGGAAATGCATAAGAAGATGAGTCTGGAGCATCTTAAAGGGCCAAAAATTAAGTGCTAGTAACAGAACCAACCCACAATGATTAGGGTGTGGCAAAGGGACATGGAAACTAACTGAAGGAGATCATAAAATAGTCAAAGCTGGAACCTTTTGAACAACAACGTTAATCTACTGTTGGATTATAATTTAAGATATAAGATAAATATCCACAAGTTCATATTGATATAAATAAATGAATAAGTGAAAAGATGAAGAAAAGGAAACATCTTTCATGCAGAAGAGCTCTAAATAATTTTAGGAGATACTACAGTCTGGAAAAGGTAGAGTATAATTTCTCACCCCTTCAATGTTGGCTGCACAAGGTAACTTCCTTCCAAAGAGTACACTGTTGAAAACAGCAGGAGAAAAGTGACTTTATAATGAAGAAATTGAACAAGTACTATGCCAGCCAGTTGTCCAAGATCAACGTCAACAGGGATAAGCCTCATGAATAGTATGTACCTTTGATACTATCTGAAATGTAATATTATGTGATATTATGTAAAATAAGATTTTTTTCTCTATGGTCGTCCTCCAAAAGCACATAACCTCAGTCTACTCCTGAAAAAAGACAAATTCCAATTGGAAGTCATTTTACAGAATACTCTACCAGTATTCCCCCAAACTGTAAAAATCATCAAAAAGCAAGAAAAAGCAAGGAATGTTTGAGAATATGCTATAGCCAAAAGAAGCCTAAGAATATCAGACAACTGAATGTATTGTGGTACTTTTGATGAGCTCCTAGAACAGAAAAAGATAAAAACTAAAGAAAGTTGACCAACACCTACAGTTTAATTCATAATAATGAATAAATATAAATTCATTTGTAACAGATGTACCATACTAAATATTTTAATGCCAAGAAATTAAAATAGTAAATAATGGAGCGTGGCATACTTGGGGACTCTCAGTACTATCTTCAAACATTTTCTGAAATTCTAAAACTATTCAAAAATAAAAGTCTTTGGGCCAGGGATTTAGCTCAGTGGTTCTGCTGCCTGCCTCACAAGCACAAGGTCCCGAGTTCGATCCCCAGTACCAAAAAGAAAAAGTTTTTTTAAAGTGCTTCAGACTCTCATATTAGTGAAATCTGTTCCCTTTTTCAGTAACCATTAAAACCCCATCTGTCGACTAAGAAACCATCCTGATTCTTCAGAAAGGAGGGGTCTCCCATTCCATGTATCTCCACAGCACTTGGTGCTTATCTGGCTGTATTCATTTTAGTTAATTCATCTAGTAATTCCACCAAGCATTGTGGAGCTCCTACAGCAGTGGTTGATGGTAAGGCTGTGAGAACACCCATGACCCTCATCCTGAGCAACCTTACAGTTTGGCTGTGGGCATAGACATGATCAGCTAAGTACAAGGACATATGCTGGGGTTGACAGAATGAAGGAAGTTAGAAGGGAGAGAACATTCTCTAAGGAACTAACCTTTACATTGAGCTCAAGAGGGAGGTAACTGGACAAATTTATTTGTGTGTGTGTGTGTGTGTGTGTGTGTGTGTATGTTGGAGTGAGGGAATTGGAGGTAGGTAAGAATGTTCCAGGAGAAATCATATTTGCCAAGTTCCTGAATAGCATCTACAAAGAAATACTTGCTATGACTGATATAGCTGTCATAGGTAGCATGTTAGAGACTCTTAATCATTTGTCAGACTTGGTAAGACCCTGTCCATGTGTTCCCTCAGTTTATACCTAAGCAGCCCTATGCTACAGATGCTATTATTAGTCCTATTTTACAGAATAAGAAAGTAAGGCACTCAGTAAATAAAGGAGCTGAGATCCAAACCAAACCAAACTAATCTGAAAGTCACACTCTTCTGTCAGATTGAGAGACAGAATTAGTCTACCTGAAATCAGAGACTCTTGGACATGTTTCTTTTGTAAGAGACCAGAATTTTTTTCCATTTAGTTTATTGGTGCATTTTAGGTACACAGTACAGTTACATTCCTCATTGGGATCTTGTACCTTTACATGATGTATCTTGGTTCTTATTTTTTCCCCATTCCTAGCCCTCCCTTCACGCCCTCCATGCTTCTCTATTTACAAAGACTTTGTTTCCATGCTTTTCCTTTTCTCATATTTTTTCTTTTCCCTTCTTTCCTTTCCCCAATTGATATTGTGAAATAGGAAGAAAATGTCTTTTGTAAGAGACCAGAATTTTTGAGTCTCAATATTTTTGAAATTTGAGCCAGATCCTTCTATGCTGGGTAAGGTTTTCCTAGCATCATGAGATGTTCAATTATCATCCCTTGCTCTCTACCCACAAGATGCCACCCACCACTGCCACTGATAACAATAAAACATGGTCCCAAACCTACCAAATATTGTTGGGAAGACACAGCAAAATCCCAGCTGCTCCCTCTGCATGGAAAACCACTGAACTGTACCGTGAGTTCTCAGGGAATGGGATGAGGCTGTTTTAAGTCTTCTGTTCTTCTCCCTCCCTCCTTACCTCCTTCCCAGAGTTTCTTGAATCTCCATATATACCTCTGTGCACATGAATAGCAGTCATATCCCTTACAGTTTATAACACAGTAACTTGTATATAGTGGCTGTTTAACACGTTTGCTGAGTTTCTGCCAACTGACTTCTAAATGCCAAGAATCATAAATGTTTGGGGCCCATTTTGGTCAAATGAAAATCATTCTCTCTAAATTCAAGTCTTGATTCTGGGAAGTTCATGCTTGGCTTCTGGCCACATGCAGCTATCGTTTGTATCCCTGGAGACCTAGCCAAGCAGATTTTCTTCAGATCGGAAATCCCTACCTGAGTGCTTAGCAGCATTGACCCCAACGCAGCAGCTCACTTGTGTGGGTTGTAGTAGAGGTTGCTAATAAGTGTTGATGAGTGTGCAAAGGAACTACAACAATGTATGCAGTCATACACCTGAGCCCACAATTTGAGACAATGTTTAAAACTCATTTTCTCTAGCAACTCTTTCTTTCATTTGTAGGTGTGATCTGCATCTGACAACTGACCTCTGCCTAGATTTTCAGATTAGTTACCTTGAGTGTGGACAGACAGTGGGAGGGAGAACTGATTTTTAGGCATTTTTCTTGCCACTGTGGGGTTTATATCACTGGGATATAGGTTGTCATTATTGGACTTCAGAGAATCTTCCATGCCAAGATATCACAGATGAAAGCTCTCAAAATATCACAAATTTAGATCAGATAATATCTTTTTGTGGTGCTTTTTGTGTAGGCATACACTGCTTTTTTGCCTCTTGATATATACAGTCCAGGACGGTCGCATCTTTTAGGCTATTCATTGGTATCTTCTGCTGCTTTGGGAGGATAGCATGGTAGTGTTTGTCTTCTCCAAGATCATCCCTACACAAGACAGCCCCTCAATAATTATCCTTCCTGGGAACTATTTGTCTAATCTCTATCCTTTTTACTAGGTACTCTACATATACTTCCACAGGCCTAAATGCCCACTGCATTATTTCTAATAATGTTCCTTTTCTTTCTGTCTTGCCAGAAGGAGGGACATGTGAAGTGATAGCAGCACACAGATGTTGTAACAAGAATCGCATAGAGGAGCGGTCACAAACAGTGAAGTGCTCCTGTCTACCTGGGAAAGTCGCTGGAACAACCAGAAACCGGCCTTCCTGTGTTGATGGTGAGTACCTGGCTTTACATGCTCATGATGCATGCAGTGTTTTCTTATTCAAAGTAAATACAGTTCAGGGTAAAGCACAAGGTACAACCAGAGTACTAGAAGGTCATACATGCTAGCCTTCAGCAAAAACTTCAAATTCTTGTTTCTCAAGTGCTAAATTTGAATGAACCCTTTAAAACTCATTAAAATTAATGTGCCATGATGGCAGTGTTGGGAGGTGACTGAGCCATGAGGGTTCCACCCTCGTGAGTGAGATCAATGCCATAGAGAAGGCTGAGCTCACCTCTTTCACCTTGCCCTTGAGCCTTCTGCAAGGGACAATGCAGCTACAAGACTCTCAGCGGTGCTGTTGTCTTGCTTGATCTTGAACTTGACAACCCCTAAAACTGTATGCCAACAAGTTTCTGTTTATTGCAAGTTACCAAGTCGGAAGTATTCTGTTATATCAGCACAAAATGGACTCAAACATCTGACTTTTTAGCTTTTAAATATCTCAATTTCAACATTTTTTAGAGAGAGAAATTTTTTGAGTTGAAAAATTTGAAGGTCCATCCCATTGGGAAGTGATTTTAGATTTAAGCTATATATAATGAAGATAGTAATAGTAAAGATAACAATACTTCACATTCATTCAAAAGGTGTTTAATGAGCTCTCATTATATGACAGGTACCACTCTGGGTGCTTTGGATAAACCATGTGCCAGGCTGTGTGCTGAATATATCTCAAGTATTATTTTATCTAAGGCTGTAAACAATCCTATAAAGCAATATATTAGTTATCTGATAGAAAATCACCCCCAAACTTACCAGCAAATATTATCTCACAGTTTATGTTGATCAAAAATCTAGCTTATCTGGGAGGCTCTGACTCAGGGTCTCATATAGATGCAGTCAAAACCCAAAGGTCTGGCTGGTGCTGGAGAATAATTTCAGGATGGCTCATTCACATCGATATTGGCAGGTGGCCTGTGTTCTTTGCCACATGGACCAAGGAATTTGGTGTACTTAAAATGTGATGATTGGCTTTCCTCAAAGTGAATAGTTCCAGAAAACAATACAAACCCCACAAAATGTCCTGCATTTCAAGCCTCATAAGTTACACCTCATGATTTCTACACCATTGCATTGTTACTCCAGTCAACTCTATTTAGTGTGGGGATGGGACGCCAGCACTTGATGATCAGCAAGAGGTATCATTGGGGATTACTCCAGGAGATATGCTTTCCCTCCCATCTCAAACATAAAGAATCTGAGAGGCTGAAGAGAGTTAAATAGTGTCCCTTTGCTCTCATGGTTGGCAAGTCATAGATCAACTGACTCGAACCCAGAATGACGGACTTTATTATCAAATCTTGGCCATCACTTTTAAGGCAATTTTATGCACCAGTGTCAAAAAGTGAACTAGCTCATGGTTCAAAGGAACTAAAAATCTCTATCTCCATCTTTATCATAACTTAGAAGTGGGTGTGATTTCATCTTCAAGTTCTTCAGTGAGGAAATTGGAATTCAGAGAAATAATTCATTTGCACTGGGCCACAAAGCAGACCTTAGGACCTAAGACTCTTGGCCCAGGAGAGTCTCCATTCTCCTTCTTCTAGGAGGGAAGCATATTTGAGCAAGGATGCTTTCTAGATTATCTTGTGTTATGTATTTTCATTATGAACTAAGATGATTAGAAAGAGAAGCACATTCAAGCTAGGGCAAATAAAGCAGCAGTTATTTTAAGAAAATAGAGAAATCCTACTCAACCATTTATGGGAAATTCAGCCAAATTCATGGGATTCTTAAATTCTTTAGCCAGCTGTCATCTCATTTTCTTTGTTCTTATGAATTAGAGACAGGTGTAAAGTTTTTATCTCCATGGTATGACTCTCACTTGGCATTATAGTGCAACTTCAGGCCCCAGATATATTTGATTCAGGTACTGTGTCATAAATACATTTTCTGAGAAGATGGAATGCCATTGGCTCACCTTGGCTTAACACGTCAACCTTTACCCAGTCAACCACAGCCAGAGGGACGAGCTCACGTGGCAGGCACAGCTGTCCGTTCTGCTGCACAGGAAGGTCAAGCTATTTTTAAAAGGGTGTGAAAAGCCAAGTGTGGGAATACATTGTGAGCTGTGGTTTTCCACTGGAGAAGTTTCTCCTAGATGAAATTTGGTGACATCTGGAGACATTTGAAATCTAAACATTTGTCAAGCTCATCAAACTGAGGGAGTGCTACTGGTATCTAGTGAGTAGAGGCCAGGAATGCTACTGAACATCCCACAACGTTCAGGACAACCCACCTACCATCTCCACAAAGAATTACCCAACTCAAATCTCAATAATGTTGAGGCTGAGAAAGTTACATGAAGATTATTTGCTTGTTCTACATCAAAGTCACACCATGAGTCACCACTAAGGCAGGGAAGGCAGGCAGATGGACTAGAAAAGCCATTTTACTCCCTTGCAGGAGGGAAGTCTTGGCCCTAGAAGCCAACAAGCATTATGAAACATAAAACCATGATGGTTTGTCTTGCTCTTTGCCAAAGAAAGCACTGAGGCTGTTAACTATAAATCTCCATTTTGTCTCCAGTTCATTTTTATCTCTAATGATCTAGAAATAGGATTGCCTTCAGATTTTGGATTCAAGACACAGACAGCAATGGATTATCAATGCTGGCAAAAGGGAAATGGCACATGGCCCCAAGTTTATAGTAGAAGTTGAGCCACATAATAGTAATATTTTATTCTTAGAACAATTTTATTTGATTTTGAAAATTCTGTACTCATAGATGTAGTTGATTCAAATAAGAAGATTATAGCCTCTATCTTCCAAACAAAAGCCAATAAAGCATATTTATCAGTTTCATGCTGATTGTTTATTTTTCTGATAACAGAACATTCTTCCAACTTAAATATGTTGCTATGTATGGGCATGGCTACACGTTGCTATGATCAACATTTTTTTTGTGGCCTAGATAGCTACATGCAAAATAAAGATAAAGTATGAAGATAAATTAACAATTTCAACATAACTATTAAAATCATGGATTGAAAAACTGGACACAGTGAGAGGACTTTCATCTGTACCTATTAATAAAATGTCTTTGGACAAGGCACAGGTGCTTCCTAACCTCAGTTTCATCATCTGTAAAATGAGAATATCACTTCTACTTAATAAGGCTGTGGTAAAAAACATGAAAATCATGTATATGATGTGTTTTGCACAATGCCTCCAGTGCTCACTAAGTTTATTATCTTATCAATAAGTATGGACAGTGTTTACACAGAGGCATTTTTTTGCAGTTTGGTTCCATATCAACCAAAATGCTGTAGTACTGGTTTATTGATGGCTTATATCACTTAATACATGGTAAATATTTCCAAGTTAATTAGTATTCTTAAAAAATTATTATTAATGGTTGGATAGGATTTTCAGGGTAAATACACTACCATTTATTTAACTCCCTTTTCTATTTGGGCACAATTGCACTCTTTCTGTATTCTCTTACCTTAATTTCCTACACAAAAAACACCAGCCTTTCTACATGACAGCTGCTGACAGTGCATACATACATATACTCCATTTGTCCTAAACATAGTCTGTCTTATCTTGTGCATTTCCAATGACAAGTATTCCAATTATTATTTGCTTTCCTCCAAAATTCTAGGTAAGTTGACTTCTGTAGTGTTTTCAAAGACAGAGGAATAGCTATGCTTTTAAAAGAAACATATATTGAATTGCTTTAAGATTCAAAATCTCACACCATATTATGTAAAATGGCACAAAATTTTAGGATAAAAATTTTAGCAATGTATCCAAAAGTATACATTTAGAGAAATGTTTAAGTAGTGGCTATTTATTTTTAAATGGCATTCTATTACCTGATAAAACAATAAAATATATATTCACCAACTTAAATTCTGAAAGTCATTTATATTTATAAAAATCATTATACCATGTACCTGCACCTGGTACTCTTCTAGCAGAAATGTTGTAACACTCTAATTATTACTTATTCTACAAGTCAGTTTGGCTCCATACAAGGTATCTTTGATTGAGACCAACTAAAAATATAATGTTCATTTTTTTTTCAGTGTCTTACATTTTTATTGTTTGATCTACCATATAAGCAACACCTCTGAAATGAAATATTTAAAAATACATCAGGGTGAATCAGTGAATGGGTAATTAATGTCTATTCCACTGTAATAACTATGAGTGATACAAGCATGTCAAAGACAGTATAATGAAGAGGGATATTTCCGTATCCCTACTCCATCCAGGTCTCCTCCTGCAGTTTGACCCGTGGACCCTGAGGAGCAATGTGGCTGTGGCCTTCATCTCTGTTTACCTCAGAATCAAAGGTACCCTGGAGGTACTCATTTAAATAAACTTGACTATACAAGTGTTAAGTATAGCAGCTGTTCTTAATTCCCCAGTGTAAGAGGAAGCTGGCTGCATTTGGCCGTGGTTTGTGGACTCTACTCAGTATCTTCAACTCCTCACAGAACCACCCACCTCCTCCGCCTCTCCTCTCAGTGACTTCCTGGCTCTCTCAAGCAGTTGCCCTGTCGTCCCTAGTCAGGACTGCCTCTCCTCTCAGGGCCTCAGACCAGCCCTGCCTGAGCTAGGGCTGTTGCTCCTTGCTGCCTCCAGGCCAGCACAGTGCTGCTTCCGCTCCCTTTAGCACTTTCTTCCTCAGAACCTTAGGCCACCACATCCTACTCTGCTGCCCAATCAACGCGATGGGCAAGAGTGGCGAGGCAGAGAGGAAGGGGAACTCACGAGACAGAATGAGGTACAGCACCTAGGTGTGGGAACACTGGAAAGAGCCCTCTGCATGAATGATAAGGTCACCAAGGTTTAGGACGGGGTTATGTCGGAGAAAGCCAGATGATAAATTAGCTGATAGGATCTTCTTAGGCCTGCAAATTGGTAAGATGAAGGAGTACTGTGTCAGAAACGTTCTTTTTTTTAATTGCCTACAATTACTTCTCAGGGACTGAAAG